TAACAATGGTCAAATTGCGTTCACAACGAGAGATGGTTCCCGATACGGCATGCTGGGTGGAGAATATACCAACCTCGCTACCAATACTTCTTCAGCGGTGTTTGGAGCGTCTCAGCGTGTCACATGGGGAGCTATTTGGAAATTATGTAGTCTCATGCCCACCTTCGCCGCGATGTGTCACTATTCTGAAGCCATTACGCAGGGTGCTCAAAAAGCAAGAGGAAGATGATGTGGATAGTGAGACCGAATCCTGGGAAGAGGAGACGGTCATTTTGCCATTAAAGCGACAAACAAAACCCATTCCACACTTCAATGCCCTCCGACGTCTTATGGAATGCGAGCTTCTTGGCAGGTGCAATACTATTGACTATGCCACTTCTATCCAGCGGGACTGCAGCGGTCTCTCGGTGCTGCAAAGACATGCGTACGACTGTTATAAATCATTGGTGCTAAATCTGATGCACATTGCCTTTTTGGAATTATATTACCGTGAAAGGTTACCTGCGGTTGTGGCAACGTTCCCCGAGTACATGTACCGCTTCCACAGGGAAGTATTTGGTTGGCTATCGGCACCACATCTCTTTTCCCGCACGGCTCTTCGAGTCTTGGGCGGGGATGCACCTCTGCTCCCTATTCTCTGTGAGAGAAAAGTGATGGAAACAGAACGCGTACTACTCACGGGGGGTTCTAGAAGAGGAAGCACTTTTGAGTTCTCACCCCGGTACCAATCTGAAAAACAGGAATTACCCTCTCAAGATGATCAAAGTTCACAAGAGATGAGCCTGCCGGTCCTCTCAATGGCGTTGGGAGGATTTGCTAGTGAGTGGACTTGCCAGGGTGTGCACGCAACACCGGCCTTCCCTACAGAGGCCGTATGGGAAATGACCTTACGTGAAGTATCCCTCACCTCTCAAGAAGGTAAGGTGGCATGGTGGAGCCTTCCGCCTTATCCTGCCGCTTATCTCAACGGGGAGGCGTTGGTGCTGGTTCCGCGGCACGAGCTGCAGGAAGTACATGGTCGACCTCGGTTTGACGATTATGTCGTCCCCATTGAAGAGGCGACAAAGGAGTCTCCGGTTCTTCCGCAAACCTTATTTGACAACGTGGCGGTGGAAACTTCACGTGTGGAGCGTTCCCGATGCGGCTACAGTGGAGTAATTGATGGTCTCTCCATAACCAATTTTGAGGAAAAGGTTCCTGTAGAGGCCATGACACGTGAAGATCCACCCGTATTGGATGAGGTATCGTGTTTTTCCACTTTTGGTCTCTCACTTCGGGGGGAGGACTTTCATCTGGCGCGCCTGATTAACCGAGAGAGAAAACTTCACCCCTTGGGAAATTTAAAGCTGTACTCAACAGTGAATCTGGCAGGTCCATACGGGATCCCCATGGCTCATGCTAGCCAACAACCGTTTGTGTTGGCCCAACAAAGTGATATACGAAAGCTAGATGAGTCTTTCTTGCATGAAAGTATTTACTTGGCTGGTGTATCGGGCTCCATAAGTCGATCAAATCGACGCTTTCGCTCGCGGCAACGTGGGTCGTGGTGCAAAACACTAGAAGCCGTCAAGAAAAATTTTTCCTCCTCTGAGAGGCTTCAAGCTTCATGGGAAACCTCCAAATACGCTCTATCCAAAAGAAACTTTCTGGTCTCTCCAGAAGTTATCAATAGGCCCCGCCGTGAAGCCCCGACAAACCCCAATTCTTTAATTGAGGTAGAAACTGTGGATGTTATGGCGCGCAGGCTGGCCCAGCGTGTGCTTAAGGGAATGGATTTTGTGCATGAAAGACCCTGGATTACACCTGTGTGCGGCCGGGCGTGGCTGTTGGTGTTTGAGCAGTTTGCCTCCAAATGTTATTCTCAAATATGTGAAGGGTATTCCATCGTCATTTCGATGGGCGATCCATTTCAGGTGATGCTCTTTAACGCTGTCTGTCTGCTAAAATATGCCAGGCAGTCAAAGGGGAGGAATTCAGATGAAGCCATTGAATCTTCGATTTTTGGTGCTTCTTTACATGATCATGCGACTTCGCCTTCTTTCTCCCTTTTGTCGGGCGAAACGGCCTCATGCCTCGCGTTCATGGATGGATTCTACGAGTGCGTGAGTGGACTCCTGAAGCAAAGCGATGTCTCCGTCCCGGAGGTGGTGTATGTGGTGCATAAAATTATGCATGAAAATTCTCCGGGTGGCATGATGTTCTTGAATGAAATTCCTGCGCTCATGAAGAGTGCAGAGCGGGAGACGGATCCCCGCCTGTTGGTGGATGGCATACTTGCCATTGTGCAGCGTATTGAACTGTATTGCTGGTTGGTTCTCTTCCAGGCATTTTTGGCGTCACTTGCGGCAGAAGGTGTCGTTGACGAACGAGGCGATGTGGTACTTTCTTCCTTCTCCGCGTTTGTTGATGACACTGCCCTTATGACATGGATGGAGCAATTTGACCCATGGAAAAACACCCCGGGGAAGTCTCCTGATCCGTTTCACCTGCGCTACAGCAATGGATTGCGCCGCTGGGATGATCGCAACTACATCTTCTCTGGTGCCCTTTGATAAATTGTATCATGTTGTAGGAATTGCAATGTAAATAATGAAATTCCGATGATGTATGAAACACGATGTGACTGACTTGTCAATATTCCCTTTCCGCTCTGTTTCTCAGTGGGTGTGGGGGAGTGGAGTTCTGCCCGCATGCTCACCCGTTGCTCTCACACATATAAACGTCGAATACATTTAAGCACACGTGCATGGATTCCCACTGCGAATTGTTTTTTGTTTTTTTTTTCATTTATCTTTTCCTTCCCCTCTCACAAGCTTGCGTGGTTTCCCCCAAATGTGGTGGACGCTGCGCCTCTTGCAGCGGGAAACGGGCACGGCCTCGGCGCTTTCGCTCACCGAGGCATGTGTCACACGGCAGTTAACGACAAAAAACATACGAAGGCCAAAGAAATTGCAACGTCAAATGTGGATGGACCGGATGAAAAAAAGACGACGCGAGCGGGTAAGGATGATCGCTGCACACGAGGAATCCCAAAAGGCATCCATGAACAACCCCACTTTGAGTGGCCGAGACGTCATCATGGCTCAACTTGCCAATGAAATATTTAGCCGAGGACACAAACATGTCTGCTGCGCAACAAACATCTCGTTTGTGCCTGATGGCAACGCTGCCATGCCTGAGGTTGCACTCGCGGGGCGTGGGAATGTCGGCAAAACATCACTGCTTCGTTCCCTTTTTCGGGCTTCACGCGAGGTTGGGCGCTCAAACGTCAAGTTACGTCGTGATGCAATGAACTTCTTTAACGTCGGGGGCGGTGTGTTCAATGTGGTGGATCTGCCGGGGTTTGGCGGTACATCCGTTCCGTGGTCAACTGTGTTGCAGCATGCCGTCCTGCTTCGCAACTTTGTGCAGTACCGCCCAAGTTTGAAAATGCTATATTACTGTATGGATGTACACTATAAGCACGGTGTATACATCCAAGACATTGACATTCTAAGATTTCTTTCAAAGGAGGTGCCGAACTTTACAATTGTTCTGACAAAGGGCGATCAGCTCGACACGACAAAATCGAAAGATGCGTTTCGTCTAGAGGATATCCGAAGGGAACTACTTTTTCATGACATCACTCACCCCTTACTTGTCACCAGTGCGTACCACATGGGTGGTATCGATGCATTGCGTTTTGACATGGTGATGAACTGCATGCACGCCGTCCCAACCGAACGCCTGACGCTGACAGAAGCAAAAAGACTGTCGGAACGTCTGCTGTCACAACGCGAACTTGGCACAGTACGTCAGTTGGACTTGCCGCCCACACAGCTTCAGGAAGACCTGATAGCGTGGGAAGCTGAACTACGGCAGGAGCGGGCCGCAGGAGGAGTAACAGAGAGAGAAGATGCGGTGGAAAGCACGGAGAGAACAATTGCTTCAGAGGGCAAAGTGGAGGAGCACAACATCTCTGTGGCGTCCAGCATTAAAAATGGCTACAACAACAACAATAACAGCGGTGAACGCAGCGGGAAAGAGTCAACATCAATGGTGGAGATGCATTCATCAGGCTGTTCCAATGCTGTGCTTGATCCTGATCGAGAAGTGGCCTTTGCTTCTCTCTGCAAGAAGTTGACAAACAATGCCCTGATGAGTTACGTAAAACAGACAAGTCCGTGGCGCAATCCACTTGTGTGGCCAACGAACGTGATACCAACAAAACATCCAAAGTCAAACATTATGCGATGCCCCGAGGATCCGCAGAATCCATACCTTACTCAGGCTCACTTTGTCTGCCCCCGAGCGGACATGCTTTTTCGTCGTCCCAACGTGGGTGTGCGTAGGGCTTCGAACAAGGGCCGATATGAGGCCGACCGACCGCTTGCATTTCTCATGAAACCGTACACAGTGCCATATTTTCCCGATATTGTGGACGTTAATATGCACCCGCTGCCTTGGACTTTTCTTGGCAGCCGTGAGGCCTACTATGAGAAGAATGGTGGTCGGCGCCTGGGTGTACGCCTATCGCAGTACGCCTCCGCCGGGGAAGTTCGAGCCCTCGCGGATAATCCAGCACCCGCCGAGCCGGATCTTACGAAGGAGGTCCGGGCGCTTGAGCGGGCCCGCTATGGATCCCCTATTGCGATGCTGCGGCCGCCTGAAAAGGCGCACAGGGAGTCTAGCGCTCCTGTTGTTATTGATGTTGGCGTGGCGAATAACGAACGTGCGGATGAATGAGGCGACAGTCATTTGTTTCCAGCACTAACAATACTACGAAGACTACTTTACTTTATTATTTTGTCCCCCTTTCGACAGATATTTTTGAATATCGAGGAAGCCAATGTGATTTTGTGTCTCTGCTTAACCTTTTTTTTCTTTTTTTTTTTTAGTTTGATATGTTTTGTCTCCACTTCTTCTATACCTATTTTTTTTTTTCTTTTCTCCCACTTTTTCCGCGAATTTTTGTATGTCTAATTTTTTAAACAGGTGGCAAAGGATGCAGGATCCCATGGAGTTTATGAGGCGGATTGAGAGCATTTCGGAGTATGGGCATCTATTCCAGTTCATGCTTGATGGTGTCACCCCTGACGATCCGGAATTAACACGCACACGGCACTACTACGTCGTGTCAAAAGACCAGTCGTATGCACGTGCCTACTGCTACCTGGTCTTAAGCCTCTGTGAACTAAAAGAAGGTAGAAATTTGAGCCGCTGGTTGGCACTCTACAGTCACATTTTTGGTACCATTACCTCCGAACGCTTTCTTGAATTACTTCTTAGCATTGCACGAGGATGCTTTGGTCAGTATGCCTTCTTTGTCGATGAGTATGTCGCACGTTTGGCTTTTTGTGCTTTGACAACATGCGACTCCTTGAAATTGTGCGAGCGAGCAGACGGAGAGTCGCACAAGCACTTGTTGCAGACACCGAGAGATGCTGAGACGGCAGAACCAAAAGAGCTCTTCTTTGATGTTGACAGGCAACGCCACTTTGAGGCGGATTGGCCGAAGGGAACTGCGTCTCCAAGCATGTCGTTTGCAGAACGCATACAGTTGGAGAAGCAATTACAGGAGTCGCAACTTCTTCTACAGGTAAAAACTAGTCAGCACGAGCGAGAGGTGTCTGCTCTGCGTGATGCGATGGTAAAAATGGAGCAGAAACTGATTTGGTATGAACGGGCGCATCAGCAACGAATTCACCATCACTTTTTCGAACATCAGGACGAGATGCAACGCCTTGAGAATGAAATGAGACAACGAGAGACGGAACTCCGTCGCGCGATGGACACGATTCTCAGGGATCAGGAGAGTCTGCTGCAGCAGTTATCGGAAGAGAACGCTTCCTTAAAGCAGCGTCACCACGAGGCGAAGATAGAGACAGAGCGCTGGCGCATGGAATGTCAGGAGCTCAAGCATAGATTAAACAGCACCGCAATGACGGCAGTTTGTCCATTAAACTCCGTCAGTCGGGAACAATACCGCGATCTCGATCGGCGGCACCAACTTCTTCATAAGGAGTTTGACGAGTTGTCATTGGAGAGGTCAGAAATGGAGCAGCAGCTACAGCAGGCACGGCAGGAAGCACATCAACGGCGCGTAGAACTGGATAGCGCGTTGGAAGTGCTGAATTCATTGAGGAAAGGGCTCGACTACGTCGGTCGCGAGTTACCGTTGATGCGTGAGACGCCCGTTACGTATACTGCCTGAAACCTTTACGTGCAAGAGGAGAGAGGGAGAGAGATAAAATTGGGGAGAAGTGCGCTGTATATTACAAGAACATGAATGGAGGAGAGGGGGGGGGGGGGGGGGAAAAAAACAAGGGAACGAGAATTGAGGGGCATGTAGATTTTTATTCACTTCCCATTGCAAAAATACGTGTTTTTTATTTTTATATCTTAGTGATAAATAACCCCGAGTATTGCACACACGCGCACACACACACACAGAGGTGTATTGTCCTCCTTTTATTCCACTTCTGCACAAAATTACTACAAGGCGGAAAAATGTTTGATCGCGAGACACAGACACCGGAAAGCCAAGTAGGGGCGCAGCTTCGCATCCACTTTAGGGGTTTGTCCCGCCGCATGGGTTTAGTCGCAGTGGCCGTGGCTCTGCTGTCTATCCTGAATGGCTGTTCGTACTACTTATACTGGCGCCCCCTCTTCGCGTACAACTCCTCACCACCAGTTGCGCTTTACGCCACTATCGCAGGGGTATTTTTTCTATTCATTATGGCACAAGGAATTATTCAGATAGCACTTCGCACAATGATCGAACACATTAGCTCTAGCAGGCGAGAGAGAGAAATTAGACGCTGTTACTTTTTCTTTGTTCTCGCACTGTTACCGGCAACTTCAGGGCAATTGAGCCTGTACGCTAACGGTTGGATTAAAGCCTCTGAAACAAACGCCGTGATATGTATTTTCACGATTTCTTTGAATCTTTTTTGTATTCTCTGTTCGTTGGCGCACGTATGGGTCTCTATATGTGTTCACTGGATTCAAATGGGTGTGTTTCGCGCCGCGTTGGAGAAGCGTGCTGATAGGCGAAATAGTTGGGAAAAGCAACTTGCATACATTATATCTAAAGTAAAACTCCCTGCTTCTTCCCCGTATTTGGACCCACATAGGCCATCGGTTGAAACGTAGATGTGAGATTGTGGCAAGCGCTGTGGTGTGGAGTGTGCACTCAGTTCACACACACACACACACAAACACACATGCCCTTTGTACCAGTACAAGTAAATGTAGCACAGGGCTTTTCTGCTGGTGTCACAACATTTTGGGGTCTGCTGCTCCGTGATCGGGTTGTGTTTCCTTCCGTTCACCCCATCCTTTCTTGCCGCTTCACTACTTTTTTGGTTCTTCTTGCCATCTCAAAAAACAAAAACGAAGAAAAAAAATATTTTTTAATACTTTTTACTGTTTATTGATCAATCATGAATCCCCTCAGCTACACGGATGAGCGCCTCGACAAAACCCTGAGGCAGCTGAAGCCGCTTTTTATGAAAGCCTTTTCTGCGCACGATGACTCTGATGTGGAGTGGATTTTATTTGCCTTTGCTCCCGGACGTGTCAACTTTATTGGCGAGCACGTCGACTACATGGGCGGGTACGTCTGCCCTGCGGCGGTGGGGGACGGCTGCCACATCCTTGTGGGCCGCGTGAAGCACATCACTGATCACAAGCTACGCTTTTCTACGACTCGCGATGAGTATTTTGAACTTGGCCACCTCGGCGAAAAGGACCACAATAAGGCGTGGACGACCTTCATCCGTGGCGCAACTTCGATTCGGCTTTCGCACCACGGCGTGAAGCTTGGGGCTGAGCCTCTGAAGGGCATCTGCATGATGATCCTCGGAACGCTTGAGATGGGGGCTGGTATGAGTGCATCCGCCTCGTTTGGTATCGCGCTGCTTAACGCGCTCAGCACGACGATTACCGGTCGCTACAAGAACCCTCAGCTAACGCCGGGTCGTCGGTACGCCATCCTCCCACGCGAGTCGCACGACGAAATGATTGACCTTGTGAAGCAAGGCCGTCGCATTGAAACCGAGTTCTGCGGCGTGCAGGTTGGTATCATGGACCAGTTTGCCTCCGCCTTCTCCGTCTCGAATAAGTTTATGGTGCTTGACTGTACGGCGCTGACACACAAGCTCTGCGACATCACACCAGTGACGGGTGATGATGCCTGCTTCCTCCTCATCGACTCAATGATCAAGCACGACCTGCTTGGGGCAACGTCTGGAACGTACAACACAGTGCGGAGCGACCAGGAACAGGCGCAGGAGAAGATCTCGAAGCAAATCCTGGGTGGAAAGCCGTTCACCTTTACCGAACTTGTGCGTGATCCACACAAGTACACCACTACTGGCGACGCTGTCCACTTCATTAAGTCCTGTCAGAAGCAACTCACCCGTGGCGAGTTTGAGCGCGGATACTACAACGTCACCGAGCAGATCCGCACGCGTGACTTCATCGCTCTCACAGATGCGAGCACCGGCCTGACACACGAGGAGCGGTTCAGGGAGGCAGGTCGTATCCTCAACGAGGCACACGAGGGTATGAGGACGCTCATGAAAATTACGACGGCAGAGCTGGACTTTATTCACGAGACCATCAACCAAGAACCCGGAGTTGCGGGTGGACGCATGATGGGTGGCGGATTTGGTGGCTGCATTATCCTGCTGCTCAAGAAAAACGTCGTGGACAGTGTCGTGTGCCGCGTGCGTGAAAAGTTTAAGGCACGTTTTGGCGTGGAAAACAAAGTCTACCCCGTGGTGATGGGGGACGGCGCATTCGTGGTGTCTTTGGCGAACAAATCTGGGCCCGATAGCAACCTGTAGGAAAATACATGTTTGTGTCTTTTTATAATAGTTGTGGATATATAATATGCGCATAGGTGAAAATAAATAAGAGGGAGCGTCTTGTTTGAACACCCTGTTTTTTTCTGCACGACCCGATTGCTATATTCCGTGATATCGCAATGTGGATTTCAGCGAGCGCGGCTTTTTTGTTGTTTCTTCTGTTATCCCACCCATCCCCTGTTACTTTCCTCCACGAGGGGGGAGGAGGCCTGGCAGATGCGGGGGGACATAAATGAAGAATGCTGTTTTTTGCGTCCACAACAAGCACGGTTTTTCTTAGACTGATGTATGAATCCATTTGTGCACGAGCGTTGGGCGGATCTCATCTGAATTGGGAGCCGTTGAGGAGGGCGCATTGAACCAAATTTTGTTCGCCCCTCGTTGTAGTCTTGTCTCTTGTGGGAAGAAATGACAAGGCCTCATCCAGACGCAAATTTTGTTCACGTTTTCTTTTCTTTTTTTTTTTTATCAAACAATCGTCGCTGAACATTTTTAGTTTGGCAAATCTTTACTTCGGCTGTGCCAGCGCACAGAACATCAAAACGATTTATTTATTTAATTTTTTGATTTGTTTGTTTGTTCTTCGTCGTCCACTTTATAATCTTTAGTACTCTCTCTCTCTCTCTGGGGATAACTTTTTTTTCCTTTTTTTTTTGTCCGTGTGTTTTGGATTTTTCCCGGCGGACGCACACATTTTTAACCGAACACTGGATGCCTGTGTGTGCGTGTGGTGGGAGGGGGACGAACACCCGCTGATGGCGCCTGTGCGATGAGTGTGCAGCCACCTTTCAGTCCTCTTTTGTCCCTTTTTTTTTTTTTTCTTTAGAGCATCTTTTGTGATTAATTTTTTTTAGGTACCACACAGAGATGGATAACTGTTCCCGTGAGAGCCGCGTCCTCCTGTTAAGACTGTGCAGTATTTGGGGGTTTATTATCGGTTCTTGGGCCGTGTTGCAAGTTGCTACACCTCTCGTTCTGAAGGATATTGTGGGAAAAGATGTGGCACCGACTTGGCAGGGTCTCTTTTCTGCCACGACGGCAGTGAGTGGAATGATTTTTTGTGCTATTACCGGCCACTTCTCGGATCGTATTGGCCGTCTTGAGTTTTTGACACCGTGGGTCATTTTCTTTTTTTTCACGACGATTTTGGTTGTGTTTGCCGATATCACTGGCTCAATTTATATGCTGTGGGTGGCTCGAATAGCAGCCATTTCTATTCCGTCGACAATAATGCATGCATTTCTGTCAGACTACCTGAGCGGTAACGCATTGTTGGAATCGTTTGGGTATGTTGGGGCGACTTTTGGAACGTCGATGCTCACTTCCTCACTTTTGTGTGGGTTGATTAGTCGGTACTATTCACGTGTTGTTGCTTTGACTTTTGGGTCTTCTCTTGCGGCTGTGGGCGTTATTTTCACTTTGGCACTAAAACCCCCGAGCAAATTGCGATTAAATTCTCCCACGGCATTTGTTAACACAGAGGGCACGAATTTGTTTCACTCCGCTGGTGGTGTAATGAATAGCATGCGTATTATATCCAGTGATGCATTGTTGAGGAATCTTATTTGTGCTATGGCCCTCCTTCGTGTTGGCAACGTTAACACACACATGATGCTTGTGCTTTTCGTGGACTTTCGCCTTGGTTGGGGATTACCGGAGATGAGTGTGCTGGCGGGTTTTTCTGCCCTTCTCACTGTGATCTTTCAACTTATTGGCGTCAGGTTTCTGATCTCGAGCGATATTGTATTGCCTGTGCTTTTTGTTCTTTTGGCTGTGGTTCCTATAGTAGCTATGGGCTACGCCCTAGCGATGACAGGTGCTCAAATGTACCTGATCTCCATTTTAACCTCGATGATGACAATTGCATCTACCATATGTAACGCAAAGATCACCGCGATTGCTTCGGAAAACGGCGTTGCTGGTTTGGCGCTAGGATGCGTGGGAACCCTGCAGAATATATTAGAAGTTTTTGCATCTCTTTTTCTTGGAAGACTGTTGTCGTGGTCCTTTGAGAATCAACCACGCACGCATGTCCTGAGCGGTCTCCCCTTTATTGTGAATGGCGCCTTTTTGACCCTTGTTGTGATGATTGTGTTTTACTCCCACAAACGTCATGGAGCCGGTAGGGCCTCTTGGACAGAGGGGGTACATGCTGGGTGAGCGCCGGGCAATGAATGTTCCCACACCCTATTTGGTTGAAAATGGGATATAGATTTACCTGTAATGAAGCTTATTGTTTGTTTGTTTGTTTTTCAGTTGTTGGTTTTTGTTGTTTTGTGTTTTTTTTTTGTGTGTGTGTGATTCTCTTTATTTACTTCGGTGCGTGTGAATTCTGTGATTTTTTATGTTGTGATCCCGGAGATGACCACACTTTGACGTTTGTGTTGATTTCCGGATCTAACTGATCTATACACTTATTATAGTCACGTAGTTGTATGTATATATACACATACATATGTATAATAATAATTATTATTATTATTATAAAAGTAAATTAAATATTTATTTACTTTTTCTTTTTCTTTTACTATTCGATATGTATTGACGTTGCCCTTCCCCTCCTTCTCTCCTTTCTCTTTGTGTCTCTCTGCCTTGCGCTTTTTTTTTTTTTCGAAGAGAAAAAAAGGAGGTCCGTCATCGTAAGATTTTTTTTTGGTTGTTTTGCCTTGTGCATTAAGCCTTTGCGTGCGCCGTTGGACGTCTGGTGGTGTAATTGCTTTATGTGCTCTGGCCTGCCGGAGAAAAACGAGAGTACATCGAGGATGGCAATGATGAGTCTTTTGTTGTTTCTGGTGGTAGTGGTGGTGGTGGTGGGAGGGATGGGGAAATGGCATTCCTTGAACCTTTTTTGTTGTTATTGTTGGTTTTCCCCATTTACTTTCCCTCCCTCCCTTAGGGAAGAGGCAGAATATATATATTCCCATACACACCAATATTTATCTTTAGAAAGAAAAAGAGAAGGAGAGAGAGAAGGAAAGGGAAAGGGAAGAAGTGAGTATTTATTTTATTTATTTGTTGGTTCCTGTTGAATATGTTTCGCTTCACCTCTGCTTTGGGACTTAGGTGCTGCGGTATTGCACGATGTGCCGCGCTACAAACTCCGACTCCTGTGACTCTTCTCTCGGAGAGTGAGAAGATGCTTTTGGATTCCGTGCGTCAGTTTACGGACCGAGTTCTAAAACCACGGGCTCGTAGGATGGACGAGGGAAGTGCCATGGAGAAGGAGGTCATTAAGGAACTGTTTGAGGCGGGACTTATGAGCATCGAGATCCCCGCGGAGCACGGAGGTGGGGATATGTCTTTTTTTTCAAGCATTTTGGCTATTGAAGAAATTTCGCGTGTTGATCCATCGGTGTCAGTACTTGTGGATGTACACAATACCCTTGTGAACAATATTTTTCTTCGATTTGCGAACAGTGAGCAAAACGCGAAATTTCTTCCGGATTTGGCATCATCATGTGTAGGGTGCTTTTGCCTCACCGAGGCGGAAAGCGGAAGTGACGCCTTTGCTCTCAGGACCCGTGCCGAGAAGAAGGGTGATCGATGGGTGATCAATGGATCAAAGATATTTATTACCAACGGTGGTTATGCAGACATCTTTCTTGTCATGGCAAACGTGGACCCTTCAAAGGGATACAAGGGGATTACCTGTTTTGTGGTGGACAAGAGAAAATCATCGGGCATACATGTTGGCCGACCCTTGGACAAGTTGGGCCTTCGCGCCAGTTCGACGGTCGAGATAAACTTTGAGAACTGCGAGGTTCCCGAAGAGAATTTAATTGGAGAGGTTGGTAAGGGATACCAGATTGCCATTGCAACACTTAATGAGGGTCGTATTGGAATCGGGGCGCAGATGGTTGGCATCGCTCAAGGGGCAATGGATATTGTCATGCCATACCTGTTCCAGCGAAAGCAATTCAACACACCAGTTGGAGATTTTCAGGCGCTGCAGATGCAGTACGCGGAGTGTGCCACCAACATCCACGCAGCGCGTCTTATGGTGTACAACGCGGCAAGAAAGAAGTTAATGGGTGAGTCTTTTGTGAAGGAGGCTGCGATGGCAAAGCTATTTGGCTCCCAGGTGGCTGAAAAAACGGCTAGCAAGGCAATTGAGTGGGCTGGTGGCATTGGCTTCACGAGGGATTTCGGTCTTGAACGTCTCTATCGTGACGCCAAGATTGGCGCCATCTACGAGGGAACATCCATCATTCAGTTACAGACAATCGCAAAGCTGATTAAAAAGGAATATAACTGAATGGTTTGGAGAAGAGTTCTTTACTCGCCACGCTTCTTCTTTTTTCTTCTTCTTCCTTTTTGTTTTTCTTTCGTTTCCCTTTTGGTCTGCGGCTCCTGCCATGTGAAACGCCAACCAATGCATCATTTTTTTTGGGGGGGTTTGAGTTTGTGCGTAAGTTTTGTTGTTGTTTTTGTTGTTTGCGATCGAGCAATTGGGTGATGGGCAAAAAATAGGAAGAGTGGGAGGCGAATTTATTTTGAAGCAAAAAGACTACGAAGAAATGGATTTCACTTCCATCAACAGTCTGTTTTTTATTCGTTGATGTTTTGTTTTGTTTTGTTGCGCATGTATGTTGGAAGTACTTCCCCATTGCCTTCCTCCTGCCTCTCATGTATTATTTCCACACACGCACACCCACGTTTTTGTTGTTGTTGTTGCTTTTGCTGTGGGGGAAGGGGGAGGGGTTTTGTGGATGCTTTGGGTTTCAGCGTGCATCGGGTTGGTTGCGGGGGGTGGATTTGGCGTTGGATGCCGCGCATGAGGCCTGCCCGTCTCTCCGTGCGAGGTCCGGAATGTCGTTGCGGAACGCGAAAACACACACGCGGACGCGGGCGGAACGGGTACGGCAGATTGGCGCCAGAGCGGCTGAAGACCTCGTTAAATACACAACCGCGCGACGTTGCACGCCTCAGTTGATGGAGCCAAATTGTGTCTTTGTGTGTGGAGGGGGTGTTGTTGTTGTGCTTTGTTCTTCCACCACCGCAAATTGATCCACGGAACTTTTTTTTTCCTTTTGGATTCTACTCCTTTTTTTGGTTTTCCTTTCTGAAGTCTCCCGTTATTCCTGCCACGGCTCTTCTCTCTCCACTCTTTTCTTTCTTATTATTTTTTTTTTTTTTTTTTTTTTGCTTTTCTTATTTCCGCCTGACAAATCTCCGAGGAAGCAGCCCTGCTGGAGCCTCGTCATCCGTGCTATTGCAATGGCGTCACGGGATCGTACCGCCGAGTTTCTACAGTACCGTAGCGTTCGGCCGAGGCACCCCGACGCGCAGCGACTACTTGAGGAGGAGGAGCAGCTGCATAGTGTATATGTCACCCCGCTTTGGGTGGAGAAGATGGATGACATCCGCGCCATAGAGAAAAGGATTCAGGAACAAATGGAGATCCTCGAGGGCCTGCGGCGAAATCACCTCAAGATTGAGTTCAGCTCAACCCGGGATGAGGGCCAAGAGGAGGTGCGGATTGAACGGGCACAGGACGTCATTGATAGTCTGTTTAAACAGTGTGAGAAGGTCGTGAAGGACCTGGAGACCGCCTACATGCGTGATCTCCCCGATAGCGGCACGGACTTGGAGTTGAGTATTCTTCGGAACGTAAAAATGTGTCTTATCAATGAGCTTAACAATATCAGCAAGGTGTATCGTGAGAGACAAAGGCGTTACATGATGGACGTGAAAAAGCAGCAGGCGGTGGCCCAACGTTGGGCGGGTGGTGAGCATCAACGTGTCATTGAACAACAGCTGGAAACGGACGCCGTGATGGATCAATATCTCCAGAAGGGCATGACACAAGAACAGGTGGAGACCATTCTGCTGAATCACCACATGGTAGATGAGCGGGTAAAAGAATTTGATAGAATATATGCGTCAATCAAGTCCTTGCATGAAATGTTTAAGGACATGAATACACTTGTCATTGAACAGGGCGCTGTGATTGACCGCATAGATTACAACATGACAATCACACACGCACGTGTACAGAAGGCAAAGGCGGAGTTGCAACGAGCGGCCGAATATCAGCAAGCGGGGGGATTCAAAATTTGCGTCTTGTTTTTAGTTGTTCTCATCATTGGACTGTTGATTGCTCTCTTTTTGAAGGCGGTGACGTGACGAGTGGAGGAAACCCAAAGAAAAGCAATAAGGAATGACCGGGGAAAGAAGAGGAAAGAAAGAGAGGCCGGTTGCTTGCCATTGCTTTGCGTGTTTTCTTTTTCTCGGTGTGTGTGTGTGTTTGTGGCACACAAACAGTACAGGGCCACTTAGCCCTACTGGTTGAAAGTCTGTCGTTAGCAGAAGATTTAAAAAACAAGTGAACGTTCCATGAATGATTTGTATATTTTATTGTCGTGGCTGCTCCGCCCCCTCCCCTCCCTCTTGCTTTAAAAGCGAAGATGGCTGCTGCCTTGCGCTTACCAGCAGACTCTTTTTTGTTGTGGTTGTTGTTGCCTTCTTTTCTTCCTTTTTTTTTCTCTTGGAGGGGGTGGCTTTTTCCGTTCAGAGTTGTGGTGATGCTCTGAAGGCGCTTCTCAAGCAAAGAAGTAACACGCCACATGATGCAACCAGAAATGAGCCTCCTTCCTCTTTACAGATCGCTGTTGAGGCGAATTCATGCCGCTCAACGTCTCCCCCATCACCTGCAGGATATCCGCTTTATTCTCTCCTACCCGCTTGTGGAAGCCGCCTCACGCACAGTCACGAGTTCTGGTGAAGTCTGCGGCTCCGGTTTACTGCGGCAGCACCGAGTGGACCCCTCCCACGTTGTTCGGGCCTGCTGTGATGATCTCCACCGTGCGTTACTGTCATATTCACACGTTTGCGACACTCCGTCAACATCGCGCCCTTTACCCCCCGTTGCGCAGCGGTTCATTCACATGCGCGAGCTGGCGTGGCTTAAAGCGAGGCTGGAAAAAGTGCTTAGTGAGTCAACCCAAACGATACTGAAGGAGGCGGAAATGGTGGCATCTGAACTCAACGAAACGGACTTTCTTGATGATGCGTTTTTTGTAGAGAAGGACCCCACGAAAGATGGAGAAACGGAAAAGGAATGGAGATCTCACAACAACACGGAAGAAGACATGTGCGCTACCGGAGTGGCATCAGCGGGGGAACTCGGGCTCCGAAGGGAAATGTTTGTCCTGAGGCACATCGCACCATTCCCGTTGGCAGCATATTACTTGAGTTCGTTCAACATGGACTCTCGTGCCATTGTGGCCGCAGCAGGAAACAGTGAGCGGCTGTTGGATTTTGTGCAGCAGCATGTTCCGCGTCGCGTCGTTTGCCAAAACGCAGATCTTACGCTCACTGTCTCAGTGCGGCTTTTTGATGAAGCCATGGAGGGGAAGCGCGTGGAGAAGGGTTCTCCATTCTCTCAGGCCCACCGTTCTTTCATGTTGAGGTTTGAATTGCAGCCACGTGATCCCACGACCCGAATCGATGTGGTGAATTCTTATTTTCTGCGACTTGATGTCGCGTCTTCTGAGCTTATTGAGGACGTCGGCTACGTACATGCGGCCCACGTCTGGAAGTTAGCCCAGTACCCGTATAGAGGAAACGGAACACACTGCGATAGCATTGATAACAATGACGACGATGGCCGCAGTGACGGTGTTGCTAGTGGTGACCATCATCGTCATTGTCATGAAGGAGTCGATGACGATGTAGCATCGCAGTTTGAATTGAGTTTCATCAACCCCTCGGATAATCCAATGGTGATGAAGGGGCAGTTGTATTACATTTTACGCGCAGAAAATGACAATTCACCCGCATGTGAGCTTCCCGTGCGTGTCATCTCATTTGGACAGCTGCTTTTGTTTAACCGCAATGGATGATTTGGGATGGGACTTCACGAGGAGAAGAATAAGAGGATCAGAGAGACTTGGTAGCCCTTGGGAGAACAACTTATCCACACTTTTGTAAACAAATACATAAGACGCACTTATATATATATCTGCTAGGGAAAACTTACATATCATCTGAGATGTGGTTTCACCTTTTTGTTGTCATTTACCAATTTTTTCTTTTTACAAAGTGTTGCTGTTGTTTATTTGTTTGCCCGTTTTTTTTTGTCCCTTTTGTGTTTTATCTTCCAATTTGTGTGTGTGTGTGTGTGCTTCGATGCATGTCCGTCACGTTAAGTGGCTGCGCGGTACTGATGTCTGTTGCTCTTTCGCCTGCATAACTCCATTCCAACTTTTTTTTTTTTGCCTCTGGGACTCCGAAGAAAAGATGAAAGAGGCGGCTGACTCTTCTGCATGGCAAATGCCGTCGACGTCGTTAAGGTCCCATCGCTGTGCGCCGATCCTTTGGCTCCCATTTTCGCTTTGCCTAGAGTGTGCCTTGGAAACACGAGTGCGTGATTTGCAGAAGGGTGTCAAGAGTTTTGGTCCCTGCAGCAGTAGTACTAGTTACCCGGCCAAGGATGGGGAGCATTCCTTGGATTCATCAAGCGGCTTTGAAAGGCGTGTTTTTCATGCGCTGTTGGAGAATCCTTTTGTGCCTATGCGCTCTCTCCGTGGGGTATTTCCGGCCGCTACGGAGTACTACAAGGAGGATGCCGTGCTTGAAATGCTGATCCATGTCGCTTCCAATGTCAGCGCAATTGTTGCTTCACCGTGGGCAGAAATGGAGGCCCACAAAAGTGTTGCCGCCGTGATAGTGGTCCTCAACTGCCACGACTACGAGCCTTGTCAAGCCCTCACGGCACTGAAGTTGGTCTTTCAGCGGTACTTTAATGGGTGTACATGTCGCTGTATCGTGTTGGATCCGACGGCGGAGGCACAAGCAGCCATGTCACAGCACGTCTTTCTTCCCGCTCACTCATACTCGCCGGCGGAGGATGTGGCGCGGTACCTGTTGACGGAAATTGCCCTCTCAATAGTGCAACAGGTAAACGCCCAAATCGTCTCTCTTAGCGCCTCGGTGGAAAATGTGGCACCTGCGAAATGGCCCACCACTGAGAATGCTGGCACGACAAATGGAGGTGGTGAAGTTCCTACAGCCCGTGTTGTAAATTCCCGTTTGGCGAAAAAGAGGGGAGACCTTCTTTTACGTGTGGGTGCATTAGACGCCGCTCTACTCGCCTATCACGACTCACTACCCGAGGCGGATGCACTGTGGTGCTCAGCAACATTGGAATCCCTTGCGTCCCTACGTTACCTGCAACGAGCCCCATTGCTCGATTTCACAACGGCAGTGGAGGGCGTTTTCTCTTCTCTCGAAAGTGATGCAACGGTGTGGAATGAAGATATGAATACCACTTTGAATCAATTGGAAATTATCGTGGAAAACGTGCGAATGGATCAGCGTAAGGCAACTTCTCTGCTGAAACACAGTTTACCAGCCACGTCACTTAACCGTAGACTGCCCAGAGAGGTGGAGGAACCTCTATCAACCCATATTGAAAACTTTCGGCGGCAGGTTGCGATAATACGTCGCTTCTTTCAAGAAGATAACACGGAGGAGGTAGGTATTTGCGTTGAAGATGCCTGTAAGAACGCACGTGGAGCGTTTAAAGAGATCCTTCACGTGAGTTTTGTGGAGTTGCAAATTTACCTTCAGGAAGCATTGCAGCAGCTACGCTCTGTTCCAGGGTCGGTGTTCGGTTTGCAGGAGCGAGAGGCGACAATCCAACTTAAGCGTGCAGAACTTTTTGCAGAAGAGGGGGATAAACGAAAATTCCTGGAATCTCTAACGGTTCTGAAGGCAGCGGCAAAGAGCGCCCCGGCGTCGATGCAGCAATACCTGCGGTGGCGGATCCCATACTTGAGTTCTCTCTCTGGTTGCTGGCGAAAGGCCATTTTTAACGTTGTTGAGGCTGCTGTCTCGGAGCAGCAGGCAAATGCCCATGGCGCCTCTGTTTGTTTGCTGTTGCGTGCGTGTAGAATGGCCGGCATCTCTCTTCCACGGATGGAGTTTCAAGATCCGACAACAGAAGGATATTTTCTATCTCGGGAAAAAATAGGGAATTCCTATGCTGTGGATAACGAAAAGGGTGAGACAGGAACTACGGGAAATCGGGCCCATCGGGCCCAGGACGTGCCGCCACTGATGCAACTTCTTTACGCCGTGACAAGGGCTGGTTTGGATACTGGCATGCAAAATGTCGTGGCGTCTCTTCTTCTCTTTGAATATTACCCCATCCTCCGTCGTGAGATACAACAGAAGCTGATGGACATTCTGGAGCAAAGTAACACGTTGATAGAACCTCTCACGTTGTCGCCACCTCCGTTGTTGCAAAGCATGGAGGTACTCCCGCTACCACCCCATTTAGCACCGAAAACCGTTCCTCTAAGTGGTGCCCATTTCACCTTTATTGATACCGGACGGCTGAAAATGACAGTTCTCACATTGAATGGAAAGATTTTGCCGCCGGGACAAGTGGTGTGGTCTGTTGGAACTGTGGGTGAAGTGCAGTTGGTTTTAAAGAATCCACTTCGACTAGATGTGCAGTTAACATCCATCGCACTTCATTGTCGTTCTGTGGAGAAGTTGGATGATCTCGGACGTGTTAGCGATGATACCGTAGGGCATGTATTTGGGCCTCTTGCCCCGTCAAGTTATCTGGTGACAGGTGTGATTCTTCCGTCGCTGTCACAACGTCAATTGCGCCTTCAGGTACAACCGAATATGCGCGGTTATCTTGTGGTGGATGGTGTGGAGATTCGTCTCGGGCAGCTTTCTCTCTGCTCAACCTTTCTTATGCCGTCGCCAACCCCCACCATTATTCCCGTCCTGCAGCGACTTCCTGACGTTTCATGTACGCTGGGAGTCAATGAGGTGGAAATTTTTGGGGGTCAGACAATTCATTTTCCGCTCTACCTAACGAATGCCGGCATGGTGACGATAGAAAAACTTTATCTTACAGCACATGATGAGTCGTGTCAGTTGGAATCGTGCACTGGATGCAAGGAAAGAGTGAGTACCGCATCCCTCTACGTCATGCTTGAATACGATTCCCTACCGAAGAAGGGAAATTCGCATTGCCTGTACCCTGGCGATATCCTTCCGGTGAAAGTGACGATGGTTGCCCCAGCTGACAATGACCATGTAGTTTTTCAAAAGGTCGTGTTCCGCACCACTATAGAACTACCATATGATCCACCTGTTACCCCAGAAAATGTCCCCAATGCTGTTCCTGTTTTTGCAGTTATCCCCCGCCGTGTTCAGGAAACAAATCTTCGAGTCTTTCATGTTCCCAGTGTTGCTGTCACCTCTCTTGAGCTCTCACGGGATCGGCGTTATGTTGAAATTACGGTAAAAAACAAGAGCAAGTTGCATACCATTGAAATTCTTTGTAGTCAGTTGTTCTTCGCCTCCATCCCTGACGCGATGATTGTGGCAGGTGCGGAGTATCTCATTCCACCCATAGAAATTACAAAGATTCCATCGAATATGCGTCGGTTTCCACTTCCGTGGGCGGTGCGAGAACTTCCAGAGTGCCGCGGTGAACTGGCTCTGGACTTTTCAATCCTTGAAAATGTGTTGGTGAGCATGGAGCCATTGGAAGATGTTGTGGTTTGCATTATGGTTTCCGCGGATGATGGGAGTGGTGTAGTATCTTCCAAAGGCGAGTGGCGAAGTGGACCCGCCTCGACAAGTCAGTTCCCCTTCAAGCTACCAGTGATGAAGCCTGCGACAATACTTGTGCATGCTAGCGCACCGTGGAAGCGGGCTGTGCCGCTTCGTGTTCGCCTCTCCATGGAAAACCACCTGGACGCTGAAATTCTAAGTGGTCCGGTGGATACAACTAGCATTGTCGGTGGCGGCACCAAAATTACTACTGATGTGGGCAACAGCGGCGGAACCAATGGGGATGAGCAGAATGAAAATGATGGTGTCAGGTGTTACGAGGAGAGTATTGAATTTTTTCCTTTTAAGGTGGGGGAGCATGTCTTGACCATCACGCTTTCAGACCTTGATGAACGTGAGATGACGTACACGGTGAAGCTGCAGGTTGAGCACCTCTAGACAGAGGCAGAAAGAATGGTTGGTGTCGGTATTCTTGTGCCGTGTACATGTAGAGAGCTTGAGAATTAAAGGAAAGAAGAAAAAAAAAAATTTTGTTTCTTTTATTTCGCCCGAAATGCTGTCTTTTTTTTTTTTTTTTTTTTCGTTGTTGTTGCTGTTGTCTGTGCGACAAGTTGAATAAATGTTTGCTGATTTGTTGTTGTTTTGGCCTCCGTTGCGCTCCACTATGCTTGTAATGGCAGTGGCTCTGTGTATTCTTCTTTACACCCTATTCTCCCTCGTCAACAAGGAGCACGAACCAAACTTAGTGAGTGGAGGGCGGAAGTAGGGAAGCCAACGAAAAGAAGTGAGAGGAAACGAGAGTGTTTTGTGTTTCTGCCGCTGTGCGTTTGTTTTTTTGTTTGTTTGCTTTTGTTTTAGTGCGTCGGAGCTGAGTGGGAGGAGGAGGAGGGGGGAAAATGCCGCAGCGAAGCACCGTCACGCGGGAAAGGCACAAGCGCCCGCGTCACGGTGGCGAAGAGATTCGGAAGGGGAGTGCCACACCGCACCGCAGCGACATGATTACAGATGAGAGCGTATCTCGAAATGATGAAATAGACGAGTCACAGGAGTCAAACTGTCTTCCGTCAGCAATCTCCGCGGCGGCGGAGGCAGCAGACATACAGAATGAATTGAAACGTCAATTCGACGCTTGCCAGCTAATTGAGCGGGATGTCGCCTCACTTCTGAAGCAGCGAGAGCTGTCAACCGTGGGGATGGGCAGTATTCTTTCACTGAGGAACATCTCTCCATATGACGTTATACGTCTTAACGTCGGGGACGAGACCTTTACTGTTCCTCTTCAGCTACTGCTCGGTAAAGATGGTCAAGAAAACTATTTCGACGTCCTCCTTGGATTCCGTAGTAGTGGCACCTCCAGGGATAATGGCGATGAGGAGGAGGAGGAGGCGGATAAGAACAGACAGAGCCAAGTTGTGCAGCCTCCATTGTTAGATGAGACGGGGGCGCTTTTCATCGATAGAGACCCTGCCACTTTTCGTCTCATTCTTAATTATCTTCGCGGTTACCGGATGCTAACCATGCTGAATGAGGACCAGTTGTCGATGCTCAAGACAGACGCACGGTACTTTCAAATCCGTGGCTTGATGGATGAACTGGGTGATCAAACTCCGGAGAGCGCGGTTAAGTTTCGGCCTGGACCAGGTGTGAATCCTGAACGCAATCGATTCCGTGTTATTTACGGTGTCGCTATGGTCGGCAACCGATTTCTCATCACAGGACGTCACCGCATCACATTTCAGGTTCTTAACAGTGACTATGTCGGTATCGGACTGGTCTCTGACTCGTGTGTCAGCACAGATCAGGAGTTTCACAGGACGTCGCACTGTTGTGTTTATTATATGACAGGCGTCTTTTATTCAAACTTTCCTCATCACCGGAAGGAAGATGGACTTGAGGCGTTAGAAAAAGATGATTACGTGTCACTCATGGTTGACATGAACAGGCGTGTGGCGGAGTACACCCTAAAGAACTCGGCCAAGATGATATCACTTGGAAACGCACGGAAGCTTCGATTTGCTGTAGCCATGAAGTTGAGTTCAAGCGTGCGTATTGTCCCAGAGGAAGAGGCACGACAACTTCCCCTTTTCCAGAGGAAGGCTCAGACAGATGCCTTCCTGCCTGGTAACCGCACGCCGACGATGGGCGACGACCGTGAGGCGCTCACACAAGTCTCGCAGTCCAATGGCGCTGGGTTGTCAGCCCCAGGTAGAATGCAGGAGCAGGTATTGTTGCAACGGCCACAGAGTGCAACGTCTCTATTTGTTTCACGTAGTTTGGATGGAGGCTCGCGTCCTGGCTTCACCGATGGGCTTGGAAGAAGAGCGCGGGCCATCGTACTCAGCTCCTTTGCGAGTGGCTCTTTGCCAAGTGATATCAATGAAATTGATCCGCTCCTATTCATCCCTGGGAACCGCGAAGCTCGTGATGACACGTAACTCGTAACAAATGTATCTACATACGTAGATATAATACGTGTATATGTGTGTGTGCAGGTAATTATCATATATATTGCAAGTCGAAAAAAGAGCGAAGTGTGCGGTTGTCTATGTATGTTGACCTCTTTTTGTGCGCGTGTTGACGTGCTATGAAACGCACAATTAAATTGTTTTTGTTGTTGTTGTTGTTTTTTTTTTCCTGTTATGCTCCCTTCCCATTCTCTCTTTTCTTTTTTTTTTCTTTTTTTTTTTTACTGAGAATGCATTGCTCATTGATTCCCTCTCGGTGTGGGGTCAAGGTGGGCTTTCCTTGATCTTTTTCTTTTTTGTTGCATGCGTTCAGGGAGAGAGAGAGAGAGAGAACATTGTGGTAGTGGTTTTGGATGTTCCTTGTGGTGTGCTGTTCTTGTAATTTTGTCTGCATTGCCCCCTTTTCCTTCTTTTGGAGAATGCTGAATTTGCCCCCTTCTTTCTTTTTTTTTTCTATTATTGTGTCCATTAGTTGTATTTGTGTGTGTGTGTGTGTGTGTGTGTGTGTTTACCGGCCTTTTTAAAAACTGCAGGAAGTTATCAATCTTGTTTTTGACTCGCATCGTTTGCAGGCGCACAGTAGTGGTACAGTAAAGTGAAGCAATGTCAAAAAATGCTGCTTCATCAGGGAAAACAGCGGACGGGGGCCTTCCAGGTGCATACGGTGAGCAGGGCACTCAGGAGCTGACGGGATTTGTGCAGAATCTGCTCCAAAATATGCAGGAACGTTTTCAGGAGATGTCAGACACCATCATCACCCGCATTGACGAGATGGGAACACGCATTGACGACCTCGAAAGGTCTATCTCGGAGCTGATGCAGCAGGCGGGCATGGAGGAGGGGGAAATCAGCACCAGCAAGAGCCAACCAGCCCAGTCAAAGAAGAGGTAAACGTGTTTCACGTAGAAAAATGTGTGATCCAGGTCGTTGTTTGTTTGTTTGTTTTCTATGAAATTTCATGCATTTGTGGTTTTGTGTTTCATTCATGGTCGCAATTGAATGCGCGCGGTGTGGGCGTCCGAACACCCTCACTTCCGCTTATTGAAACGCACTGCAGAGAGCTGTAGCTGCAAGAGAGCGTCACCCTTTAGCGCGAAGGAAAATAGAAGCAGAGGAGAGATGAAGGCCCCAAATAAACAGAAGAGTGGAGGGAATGAAATCAAAAGAGAGCAACAAGTAGGGGAAAGGAAACAACAAACAGACGAGAGAGGAAGAAGGGAGGAAAATTGTAGAAGCGGACGAAAAAAAAAAAAAACTGACTGCCATTTTGCCTGATTGTTTGTTTATTCCTTTTTGGATAGACCCGCCGTGGGGGAATGGAGATGTCAGTGGTGCGGATTGCGCCGAACCTCTTGGACAGGCGCATGCATCTTCGTTTGTTTTTGTTTTTTTTTCCGTGTGTTTGCGCACCAAGGGGCGGCACGCCACGCACCCATGGAGACTGGCGACCAAAGGAAGGAAACAATCTATGATGCCTGCCGCTTGGGGAACGAGGCACGTGTGAAGGAATATGTGAGGCATGGGGGTTGTGTCACGGAGAGCGATGCGAACAGGATGACGCTCCTGCACCATGCAGCATTTTCCGGAAAATTTTGCATTGTTGACGCCATTCTTTCCGCGCAGCCAACGCAAACTGTGAACTTGGATGCGGCGGACGCTGGTGGATGGACGCCGTTGCACTACGCGGCGGAGCGTGGATTCACCGCTGTGGTGGAGCGTCTCCTGGATGAGGGTGCCAATCCAAATGCAAGGGATGAAATGAAGCGCACACCGCTGCATCTTGCGGCTGGTGCTGGTCATGTGGGCGTGCTGCAGATCCTTCTCAAGAACGGCGCCATGCCCAGTGCAAAGAATGTGGCAGGATTAACGGCGCTGGCGTGTGCCGGGGCAACTGGCCAGGTGGAAGCCGTAAGTATTCTTGAGCAGCAGTGAAGAAGAGATAAGGACGAAATCTCCCTCTGAGTGTGTATGGTGTTGGTTTGCGTTTAGGATTATTTCTTGGTCTTACCTTCTCTGTATATTTGCAGCCTTAAAAAGTGAACATTCTTCCTGCTTCTTTCCTTTTTTTTTATCGTGTATGTGTGTGTGTTACGGAGTTTGTTTGTTTTTTTTAATCTTGTTGGACCGACCGCATTGGGTCGAAGTTTGTCTTTCACCCACACGTGAGTTTGACAGGGAACGGGTAAAATGACTGTTGTGCAGGAAGCCATTCGCGTGACGAGTGCGACGCCCCAGCCGTATGGCGCGGCCGCTGATGTTCTTGCGATGAAGACTCTTTCGCCGCACGACAAGGTTCGGCGGTATATGGAGGAGCAGGAGTCTCGGCATGTGCCTCCCACTGACGCGACGCCAGAAGTGGCATCATCGGAGGGCGAGCACGATGCCGCGCTTCTGGGCCAACATGAGGATGTTTCCCCATCCCCAAATCATAAAATTGTGCCCCTCACAGGTGAACCGGGGCCGGACGCCAGAGAGAGAGTCCCTGATCGCCAAAAGGAGAAGAAGAAGCAGAAGAAGCAGCAGGCGCCCCGTAAGAGAAAACAACGAAGTGAATCTGCAGGACGCGAGGCTGATGATCCCTTGCTTCTCTTCCGCCGTTCACAGAAGGCGCTACGGACTGAGGCACGCCATGTCAATATGAAGGAGGTCCTTTCTCGCTCGCTCTCGGGCTTATTTGACGGGCCGGGCGAGGCGAGCAATCCATTTTCTCCAGCAGCTGGGTCGCAATCGTCTTCTGCATGGAGCCCTTTGGTCGCCAACAGCATCACCAGTCAATTCCTCTCAAATGTGCAACAGCGGAAGAAACAGACCTTCGAGCGCCTCCTGCAGAAGGAAATTGCGAACTCCCAGCTTTCCACCTCCCGTCTTACCCCAGATGACGGGGAATCCGATGATCGTATGCCAGAACTTGTCATTGGAGACGAAACAGCCGTTATGGAACCGCCATCCATGGGGCATGATGCTCTCCTCATGGATGCTGGCACAACTTCATCCCAGGCAGATACACTTCTGATGGGCAATACCACGTCCCGAGGATTTGTTGAACTTGACGAGGAGGCGGAGCAGGCACAATCAGAGGCGCTAATGCGCAAGCACGAACTCTGGCGTCTGCGACAGAAACACCTGCGGGAGCGACTTCGTGCGGAAGAGAGTGTCCCTCAACTGAAGCGAGGAGACCACCAGGCATCACTGCGTGGGCAACCCCAAACGACTGTTCCGATGAACTTCGTCACCCAGTCCACCTCCTCGCTCTCTACAGCGCGCGGTACTACGGCGGATGTTGATGGACCCACGGAAACTCTCGTGTTGGCGCATTGTAGCATCATTCAACAGTCACAGAGCCTTGCGCTTGGACTCTCTGCCGATCATATTGAGATGATTCGCCGTGCAAACAATTTTGACAACACTTCAAGTCAGCGGTTGGTCGTTTTTGAAACGAAAAGCAGAAAGAAGAGAGAGGGACTTGCCCATTTACAACAATGAAGACATTATGTGAAAGAATGGAGCAATGAAGAATGGTGCGGATGGAGTTATGGCAATTTTATGCGGGCTTCCACTTGGAGGATTATTTCAGTTTTTTTTTTTCTTGGGTTTTTGAATATATATCTATATGTAATTCTTTTTATGCATGAGACCTTCCCATTTACAGTTGTTGTTTTGTTTCTTTCTCCCCTTTGGGAAAAAAGGGGGTTAAAACACTTCTTTATTTATTTATTTATTTGCCCATTGTTACACAATGGAGCTATCATAGAATGATTGTGAATGTGTTTGGTAGAAATCTACCTTTAGAATCTAAAAGGGAATGGGTAGTACTACCGCGCCTTGTGTTGCGTATCAGAGAGTGTGCATGTGTGTCTGTGCGTGGTCGACGCTTGTCTGATGAAATTGTCGTAGATAGAAATCTTAGAAGAGGAGGGAGGGAAGGAATATTGTATGTGTGAGAGAGAAAGAAAAAGACACGTTCCGCGTGTGCATGGTACGAGTTTAACATAAATCTTGGATACGCGAAGTGCCTTTCTGTGTGCATTCCTAGTACTTCTTTTTTTTTTTTTCTTCCTTTTGGAGGCAGAGAGAGCTGCCAGTGATAGAAATGACAGATTTAGACTCCACAAAGATATCTATCATTACAGGGAAAAAGGCGGACCCCAGGCTACTCGTGGAGGTTGGGATCCATTCGGACGAGGTACCAGAGGCTGTCAAGAAAAGAAATGCCCAGGAGAAGCGATGCAACCTTTGCTGTATGTCATATGGCTTTCTTCTCTCCTCAGCGATGGTCCTGATGGTGTCTTGCATCGGAACTGCTGCATGCATCTTCACGGAAAAGAGAGTAAACTACACTTTAAACGGTACCATGCGACAAGTGGCTTGGATCGCGATACCAGGGGTACTTGCTGGAACAACCCTACACTACTTTCTCTCGGAAGCGATGTGGAGCAGCAAACGCAATACATGGGGACAAGCGTGGATGAAGGCCATTAGTTTCAACAGCCTCACGTGGTGTACTGCTATTGGCGTGGGAACTCTATTTTGGCGCAAAGGCCTTCTCATGAGTTCCGCCGGACGACGACTGTATTATCGTTACCCCATCCCCACAGTGTCTTTGGACTCCCGGGTCCTCCGCAGTGATGTGGAGTTTTTCACGGGAATGGGTTGGACGTATTGGTTAAGCGGCGTAGTTAGCGGTCAAGTTGGGTATTTGAGTTGTGTGGGATTTTGTCTTTGGAATGACCGTCCCTACTTTATGATGAATCCGCATGGAGGATATGCTTTTCGCTGCATGCCTCGTTGGCGTAGAGAGGCCTTTGCAAAACAGGCGAATGTCAGGCTTTCAGATCTGTGACAGTGAAAGAAAAGGAAAAGAAAAAAAAGGCGAGAGGAAGAGGGGAGGGAGAAACGCCTCCCGTTGAGGCGTTTGTTTTGACGCTAGAAATCTCCCATTGGGTTTTGGCTCCGCTTTTGATTGCGGTCGCATCTATGGGCAGGCGGAGAGACGACTCGACCGTATCCCGCCGCCTTCCTTCCGTGGACTCGCCCATTCTTTTCATTGTGCCCTGTCTTCTTCATTTCTTTTTCTTTTTGAACACACGTCCATTGAAGGGGAAATACACGGGAATGCTAATGAGAGGTTGGTACACGCAGTCATGACGAAAGATAGAATCAAAATCAGGAATTCCATGAAACACGCCCATGGCGCTGCTGCAGTGGAAGATGCCGTTGGGATCACTGAGCTGCGCACAATACACCGTTGCGGCACCGGAGCGGAGGAGGAACGAGGCCTGCGATTGACAGGATTGATGAAATGGTCCTTTGATGATTTCATCGTTCAGGAGGTATGGCCCGATGGTTTCCTCAGTCAGGTGGAAGAAAAAGGGGTAAGAAAGAAAACAGCAACCGCTTTTGTTTTTCGTGTAATTTCTGAGGGGATTCCAGACACGGCGATCGCCGCCTTCATTGAGGGGCGGTGCCCCCACAGGGCGTCGCTTCAGTTTCTCACACCATTGGATTTTACCTCTTCTCAAGAGCGCTTTGTTTTGTTGCACTCACCTTCTCGAGAAGCCAGGCATGTCTTTCGGCATGAGCAGAAGGTACACCTCGCAGAGGGAGTTGTATGTTTTGGAAAAGCCATGGAGATTCCTGTAGAAGAGAACGCGGCGCCGTCTTTGCCTATTCACCTTCTGCCAGACCTGCGGTATTCCATTGTGTTGAGAGGTATGCGTGGGTCCCTGGCGGATGTTCTCCCGCGTCTCGAGGGATTAAAAAAAAATGGTTTTCTGAACTATTCGCATTTGGCACGGCATGGTGTTGGTCTTTTTCGCGCCTTTGAGAGTGGACGTCATCTCCTTCAGCGAGATTACGTGGAGTTTCTCCGAGGACATGTGCTTGGATTGACGGAGCGCTCCCCCACGCTTCGCAAAGAAATCCCCTCCCTGCTGGAGATACTTGCGGACCCAAAGTCCACGCGCAGGGACTGGGCGAGCGTCAAACAAGGCCTGGAACACGCATTAAAGGAGGATGACGCATTGATCCATCGAGCACAAACCGGATTGTATTATCCGCATCACATGCTTTTGCGTGATTTCCTCGAGAGGGCATCTACCATTGCTCCTAAAAGCCACAACTCCGCTCAGTTGATTCGCGAGTGCATTCCTCGTCTGCTTTTGCAGGAAAAATTAAGAAGCGTGGCGGATGCTCACTTTAATGCATTGGCATCCTTGCGTTGGAAAATGCATGGGAATCAGGTGGCTTTAGGAGATCTTGTGATTTTGGATGAAGAGAAGGGCCCTTTAGATTTATTTGAAGCACCGGCAGATCATATGAATGGAGAAATGACATCTGTGCATCACCCGGAATGGCTCTCCATCGCCGGAGAGAAGCACATGAATCATTTGCGTGGTAAGATCCACGTCGTGCAAACCCCAGAAGAGGGTCGACGGTTTAGCTTGGAACAAGTGGTTCTTCCTGTTCTGGGAAACGGAGCGGAGCGGTTGGTTTCCCCGGATGGCAAAATGAGGGAGGCGTCAGAGCGTTTGGCGCAGGAGCTTCAAATCGAGGGTCTGATGAAAATGAAGGCAGCCCCGCCGGCGACGTACCGCCGTCTCGTGGTACGCCCAAGGGACTTCACGTATTGCCTATTCGATGATGAAAGGGGGTGGTGTTGGGAAAGCAACAATGATGCGCCCATCCGACCGCAGCTTTGGGAAGATCAAGAGGGTATCATGCGGCAGCTTTCCCCCCTTTCCGTGGCCACAGGTAAAAATATAATTGCTCGAAATGGCATTCGTGGCGCGGAACAGCGAAGCCATTTTCTAAAGGCCGCAAGACGTAGCGGTATGACGTGCGTATTGCGCATGACCTTGCCGCGAGGATCGGCGGTCACCTCCGCACTGCGAGAGGCGTTTCAGTTCGCCACACTTGATCCGGGGGCCATCTTTCACCTCCTACGGTGAGTGAAATCATCTTCACAGAAATTGCCGCCTTTTAATGACTCTGCATGTTTTATTCGTTGTTGTTGTTGGGTTCCAAAAAAAAAAAAATATTTCCACTCTCTTGTTTGTTTTTGCTGCAATACCATTCCTCTTTGTTGCCTTCTTATATTGCATGGGATTTTTAACTTTTGCGTTTGCTTTCCCTATTATTATTATTTTTTTGCTGCAGAATCCGTCCCCCAATGGTGGTGGTCCGACTCGGACTTCGCCTCCGGTTTACAAAGGTGCCCGGCGTGCAGGGGGAACGGGTGTTCCGCGACACCATGACAGTGGCCGACCCAAATGACCATGGTTATCAGGATATTAACGATATTGTAGAGAAGAAGCTCCGCTTCATGGACATTCCACCCAGTGACTTTACCGTCTTTCACAGGGACAGCAAGACAGGCGACACTTTAGTGGTGGATGATGCCTACTGGGGGGAACTTTTGACAGGATTGGTAGAGGCAGCGGCCGCAACAACCACAGAGGCGAGAAGAGAAGCTTCGAGAGTCGACGGGGGCGATGGCAATGAGGACGGGGATGATGATTTCATCGTGGAGAGGGCAATTTCGTTTGACGTGGAGGTGCTTCGCGAACGACCGTTGGAGCGTCACTTACGTGGCGAGGCAGCGGTGAATGTGTTGCCTCTCACCTCGGAGACACTTCAGGCCTGTACCACCGCTGGCGTGCGCCTTGCCATTGCCGCCCTCACGTGTCCGCCAAGGTATCCCAATTTCTTTATTCGTGGTG